TTTTCAACAGGAGCAACTCGAAAGAGCAAGGCTCTAAGGTGGTGATGGCGCAGGTAGCAAGGCACATCATGCCGTTTGTAGTGGAATCCATATCTGCACAACGCTCAAGGAGTCACTACAGGAGTACGAAGGAGTTGCAGTGCAGCGCTCGACTGGCATGGTCGAGTGTCTTACCACGGCTGCAATATATTCTTATCCTTGGGGGACAACACACCTACGCAGGAAACTCCCTAGGAGCATCTGGAACAGGTTAAGCTGCAATGTGCTTGAATTCAAGCCAACCACGTTATACCTCAACGCGAGTATTCTTTAGGAGATTTTGAATCCATCTTTGCCTGTGGTTGATGGAAGAAACAATGGCTGGCCATTTGAATCCGCAGAATCGGTTGTTGCATTAAAGGTATAACGTGGTTGGCTTTGGACGAGGTCTAGACCGTCAGAGCCGTTTCCTCCAACTATATTGGAACTCCTACGACAAATTGAAATCTCCTGGTGGTAAAATGCAAAGGTAGCAGGTCAAAGTCAGTTACAACGCGACGAGAATGGGATTCGAACTTTGTGGACCCCGCGACCGGAAAACCGACGTTTGCGGAGATCTCCCTCCATGAATGACAGGCCATCCGCGCGTCCTTATAGTCCGCCAACGACGGTTTGTAGAAGTGGTCATATTTACACATTTCTTCCGACAAAAGCTCTTCAATCTGATCCGTTCTCCCGTAAACATTCTTCGTTTTAATAAAGGCGGTATTGTGCTATGAAAACGGATATGTGAGACTTCGGAAAGCATGTATTTAGCAGACCAATGGCAGCGTTGCGGGGCTGCAGGAGGATTGCGGGGCTGCAGGAGGATTGCGTAGCTTTCGACGCAAGCCTAGAAAAATGGGTGGACGCATGCTCGTTTCAATTCATGGTTCTGCGTGTGTTGCAGAGTAATTCACCTCCAGAACAACAGGCGGAGTGACATATTTTGTTGAAGACGACCTAGATTATTCATTTTTAGAGTCTATTCATTTATTTGTTTATTTATTTATCATAGACTTTATTGCCCCGTGCATCGCCACTGCTGCTTTTCATCGCGGACACATTTGTCCCGTATTTTCCTCCACAACTTTGTGCACCTCTCGACCGGCAAACCGGCGTTTGCGGCGATCTCCCTCCGTGAATCCAAGCTGCTTCTACAACCCGCCAATGACGGCTTGTATAAGCGCTCATATTTACGCATTTCTTCCGACAAAAGTTCTTAAATTTGATCCGTTTCTCTCGTAAACATTCTTCGTTTTAACAATGGTCGGGCTATGAAAGCGGAAATGTGAGACTCCGTAAAGGATGTAGTTAGCGGACCAATCGCAGCCTGGTGCGGGAGGCTTGCGTCACAGAAAAATGGCTCGACGCATGCAAGGACACAAAGAGGTGTGAAAAGCGACGCAAGGGACAACGCAGAAGCATAAACTAGGCTTAAGAGATACCTGGGCATAAAGCCTGTGCCATCTTGGCATTAGGATGATGTTTAATAAAGTTTAATAAAACACAACAAATAGAACACGCGTTTCCCTGATTTCTTAGAGTATATTATGCTCATGCTGAAACTGTTTGGGATTGATTTTCATATAATTTCCGATTGTTGGTGTGCTGTGAGATTTTGTCTTTGTCTTAAGTGTGCCTTGACGCAAAAAAGGTTAAAAAACACTGTTGTAAATCTCTTAAACCTCTCCAGTCGATTCAGAATGCTGCAGCACGTGTATTAACAAGAACTAAGAAAGGGTATCATATTACTCCTGTATTAACTTCTCTGCACTGGCTCCCTCTTAAATCAAGAATAGAATTTCAGATACTTCTCACCTACAAGGTACTCGTTGGTGAGGCACCGTCTTACCTTAAAGAGCTTGTAACACCATATTGCCCTACAAGGTAGATGCACTCCATAGATACCAGTTACTTGTTGTTTCTATGGTTTCAAACAGTAGGCTGGGAGCCAGAGCCTTCAGTTATCAAGCTCCTCTTTTGTAGAACCAGCTTCCACTTTTAGTCCGCGGGGCAGATTCGGTCAGCTCTTTTAAGATAAAGCTTAAAACTTTTGATTTTGCTTACAGCCCTTAGTTAAGCTGCTATAGGTTTAGACTGCCGGGCGACTTCTTAGTACACACCGAGCACCTCTCTCTCTTTTTACAATAATCCACGTTTTATTAATGCACATGACTTATTCAGCTTCTTTCCGGGAGTTTTTTGTGCTGTCTCCCCTAGCAGGTCTCCGTAGATAGTAGTTCCTTCTGGACCCTGGTCGTGACACCTGCCTGGTCCGCTGACTCCTGCTGCTGCCATCACCCTCATTATTATTTTAAATATTAATCATATTATTGTCATCAGGGCTGTAGTGGAGGGTAAACGCACGTAAGCGCCGTTTACGCACCTCTAGAATTTTGGAAATAGCGTTTACGCACCTATAAATAGTGTTTACGCACCTCTAAGTGGCGTTTACGCACCTCAAAGTTCCCTGCGCCTTGTATTCTTCCGTTGGAATAATCCGAAATAAACTTGGTGTAATTTTAAAACAGCTAAGACTAAGACTACGTAGTCGCGCACTCTGTGTTCGCTGGTCGTGCACTGGTGACGTGTAGATTAAAAAACAAGTCAGTTCTCAATGTGAAAAAAAACATGCTGTATAGGCTATTTATGATGACATAGGTAGTACATGAGTGTTCCTTTAACTTATGTTATCAGTGTAATTGACAAGCTGCTTAACTGGTTAACTCTTAAATTCAACATATTTTTTCAGGCAGTGATAGGACAGGCAATGATGCGGAGAGCACAGGGAGAGGAGAAACACCAGGTCCAATAGAGAGAGGAGAAGCACAGAGGAGCCATGAACCCCAGAACTCGTGGCAGGACCTGACATGGAGGACAAGGAGGCCCTCTGGGCACTACTGTAAAAAGGAGACTCCATATGTAGATAGTTCTTAATCTGCAATTGTGTTGTTGTGTTGTGTTGACATACTTTTCTTTACTGTTTTCTTAAATTTAATAAACTACAAACTACTAACACATGTATTCATTGTCATTGATGACTTTTACTGATAACATAATGCAATATAGCCAGGACAGCCTTACAGAGTCGCGACGCTTTGTGTTGCGTTGCTTCGCATCGCTTCGAGGTCTGTATGATGACAAAATTCAGAGTTTACCCACCTCTAATTTTACCACTACAGCACTGATTGTCATCATAAACCACGATTACCCTTTCCTAAATTCGTTGTGCTCTCCCTCCCTACGGGCTTCTGTGGATGGTGGTTCTATCTGATGGTGGTTGTCCCTGCAGTGGTTCCTACCGTACGCCTGTGGCTACTCACAATTATTTGAATCATTTCTGTCATAGGAATTGAATGTATTATACATATTTTACATTGTTCATTCTATACACATGACATCCATTGTAGTCTGTCCATCCCAGGAGTGGGATCCCTCCTCTCACGTTCTCCCTAAGGTTTCTTCCCTTTTTTTCCCATGGAAGCGTTTTTCATTTTTTGGGGAGTTATTCCTGTGCTGATGGTGGGTTTCGGGACAGAGGATGTTGCATGTGTATGGATTGTAAAGCCCTCTGAGGCAAGTTTGTAATTTGCGATTTTGGGCTGTACAAAATAACATGAATTGAATTAAATTAATCTCGGCCACATTAATCGCATGGATTAACGCATTGCAAAACTTGAACCTGCTTGCTTGCTCATGTGATGTGCTCACTAGATTTTCTTTTTGACAGTAAGTGGGTGGACCAAGTCACCATTTTATCTTGACATCTAATTGGACTAAAGTTGCTAGTAGGCGGAATAAAACTATTTTACAATTGGCCAATAATTGCGGAAAACGTAGGTGGCAGGTTCCCTTTTCAGAACGGCATAAACGGATCTCAGAACAGCATAAACCGATCTCCGACCAGCTTTTTATAATCAATCATAATTTGTGACAAAACATTATGTTTGAAGGAAAGGAGCAACCTGTTATAGTTTACCTGCATCATGTTTTCATATATTACATCCTACAGTTGTGACTCGAAGGGGAAGGTGTCAGATAATCAATAGAAATGTCAAATGAAACACATCACTGATTACAGACATTATATTAGCTCTGCAGCAGTAGGAATTCCTCAGTGTGATGACACTCTGGTCAGGCATCATCTTGCATGTGAGGTTCCTCACGTACACCCTCAGATCCGTGGGAGAGGGTTTTTAGGGCCTGCGCTATGTCTCACAGGCAGCTGGCCCTTTCTTGTAAAGTCAAATGCAGATGAAAACACACCGGCAGAGGTCCAAGTCTGTTCGTTTAAAGTCTTTTGTGTTAGCTTGGGAAATAAATCAGATGGAAAATGCCCGTTTTTGATGGAAGGTAGTAATGAGTAGAAGTGTCCAGCTCCTTCTACACAGAAGTTGTTGTTGACAATGTGTGCGTTGTAACTGCACACATTGCAGCCAGCCGGAAACTCTCACATGAAAAGATACAAAAACATCTGGCCATCAAACGTAATTTTTTAATGGTCCCCATTGTTTTTATCAAGGTGATTTGAAACATGAATTTGGTTTGACCATCCTCTCACATGGAGGTGGGTAACTGAAACAGAATATCGAGCTTCAGCAAAGTGTGTCTCTGGAAGACGTCCGTTGAGCTGTGTATCAGACGTTCGATCAACCGCCGGGGAACTGATTGATGACCTGTAAGACATAAAGGAGGGTTAACTCACGCCCGGTATTTCAGCATCACCGTAATCATTGCGTCATTCCTGTCACAAGTTGAGCTCTGATTGGACAATCCCCAACACCCTCCCCCCCCCGTGCATTGTCTCCATCTGTGCCCTTTACAACAGCAGCTTCCTGCATCTCTCCGCTGGTTCGTTTCACTGCACAATCCACAACCTGGTGAGTTTTATTTTCTCAATCAAAGCATGTCAAGCATATACATTGGAGATGCCAGCTATGATAATATTCTCTGTTGTCGAGTTTATGAGTTCAGTAAATACCAATGCAGTTTTTTCCTTGAGTTTTCCGGTAGCCATTTGTTTGAGGGAACTCCCAGTAAACTCCTTCAGCTGGCTCGGCAAGGACGCGGAAGTGGCGACACAAGAAGCTACGTTTAAGCTTACTGCCGGATAAATACTTCACTATACTTTACAAAAGTTATTTAACACCAGCAGGATATTGATAACAAAGTTTAAAAGCCATCAACAGTCCCCTGTGTTCAGTTAACTGTGAGCCAACGTTAGTTTCCTTTCACGGAGGACATGTTATTTTTTGTATTTCTATTGTACCGGAAGGATTATCCGAATGTCAATGATTTCAGGCTCTGCTTTTATTTCAACATCAATAAACATAAAGCGGGTACATTATACAAAGTGTATATTCATGGATAAACCAGTGTACATCAAAAGAACAAATATATTTTAAGGATGACAAAAATAAAGAAATATTCTGTGTAAATGAATAAATAACTTTTTTTCAATAGAATTAAAGTGGCGTATTTTGTCTTAATAAGTAAGTCATTCTGAATCTCTCTTTTCTCCTGGTCTCCATCCCAGTCACCATGACGCATGCATATCCTTTCCTGAGCACCGAGCAGAAGAAGGAGCTGAGTGACATCGCTCAGAGGATCGTAGCTGCTGGTAAAGGCATCCTGGCAGCTGATGAATCCACAGGTACGACATGTCATCCCACCAAGCCTCAGTAATCACATAGAACCCCCTGCTGGTTTAATACTCCAAAACGAAGACTGTATGAACGTTTTAAAATACCTAACTGCCAATAATACGAAAGTACATACAATATATTTTCTGCAAAGAAACTCTCACCTCATATGGCTGCTACATCTGCAGAGCTGATATTATTGTGCGAAGTTGGTGTGCCGACAGGGTGTCGGGCTGGTCCAAAACCGGACCACCTCCATCACCCCGCAAAGCACAAACCGGCAGCACAACACTGGCACCAAGACAAATTATTATATATACAGTATTATATATAATCCTACACAATGTCCTTTTTATATATATATTAAGAGGGAACTGAAAATCTCAGGAAGAAAGAGAAGAGATGTATTGTTTTGTTAGGCACCATCAACAACACCCCTACACACACACACACACACACACACACACACACACATATGCTCGACCCTCGGATTCCAGTGTCATTAGTGTCTGTTCTTTCTCTGCTGGCTTCATTCCTTAAAGGGGACGTATTATGAAAATCCCGTGTATGTATGTGTATGTATGCGTATATATATGTATATATATGTATGTGTGTATATATGTATCTATATATGTATCTATATATATATATATATATATATATATATATGTGTGTGTATGTATGTATATGTGTGTATATATATATATATATATATAAGTTAAATGTTCAGTTTACACGTCAGACGTGGCGACTGAACATTTACCAATTGCCTCCCTGACTGGTAAATTCTGTTTTTTAAACCCATCCACCGCTCTGTCTCCATGCACCTCCAGGCAGCGTGGCCAAGCGCTTTCAGAGCATCAACGCTGAGAACACAGAGGAGAACAGGAGGCTTTACCGTCAGCTTCTCTTCACTGCCGACGACCGCGTCGGCCCCTGCATCGGCGGTGTCATCTTCTTCCACGAGACCCTCTATCAAAAGACGGACGATGGCAAGCTCTTCCCCCAGCTGGTGAAAGAGAAGGGCATGGTGGTGGGCATCAAGGTGGACAAGGGTGTGGTTCCCCTCGCTGGCACCAACGGAGAGACCACCACTCAAGGTAGAGGGAACGAAACGAGCGTCACAAGAACAAAGGTTACTTACTGACGGGCTTCAGCATGTGAGATGCCTCACAGGTTTCTATCACCAAGAAACAACCACTTTAAAAATGAACTCGCAATTTATATAAACCTGAGCATGAACCTGTATAAGACGGATGGCCTCTGATTCATGGAGGGAGATCTCCGCAAACGTCGGTTTTCCGGTCGCGGGGTCCACAAAGTTGTGGAGGAAAATACGGGACAAATGTGTCCGCAATGAAAAGCAACAGTGTGGATGCACGGGGCAATAGAGTCTCTGCTAAATAAATAAACAAACCAACGACTTGCACACAGAAAGACGTCACTCTCTAGGTCATCTACGACAAAAAACGTTACTCCAGCTGTTGTTCCGGTGGTGAATTGCTTTGCAAAACACGCAAGCCTTTTTGAACGATGAAACCCGCAGAAGCTTTATACCTAATATTGAGATTCTGCAAGAAAAACATCAGAGCAAGTGAGGTGAAGCTACAAGATTTGTATCAACCTCATGTCAGAGTTTAAAAATATATGAATAATTATGATAATAGTTATATATATATATATATATATATATATATATATATTATACACAGAGTTAAACAGACCCTGATTCTCTTTCTCCAAACATTACACAAATGTCAAAGTTGTTTAGGTGTGTAGATCATAATAGTTTATTATAGAATTGTATATATTTTTAAATTATTCCTGAAGAAAAGATCGATGCAGAGATTTGACCTTTGATTGATGCTTGATGAAATTGCACTTTCTTGTTTCTTGTGAGTTTGTATCCCTATGGTTGAATGCACTTATTGTAAGTCGCTTTGGATAAAAGCGTCAGGTAAATGACCTGTAATGTAATTCTTGTACCCGCCATAGTGAGACCAAGTCATGGAGGCCTGTTCTATATGCTATATTATATATTACAGGCAACATCCCATTTGCCACGTTAGCAGACAATACTAATGAACAGTACGATTATGGAAGATGTTTAACTTGTGATATAATCCACACAAAGGACCTTCTGCTGTTTAGTGATAAAACTAAACTGTAGAGTGCATCTCTGCTGCTTCCACGTATCTGACAGGTCTGGATGGGCTGTACGAGCGCTGTGCTGAGTACAAGAAGGACGGCGCTGACTTTGCCAAGTGGCGATGTGTGTTAAAGATCACCCCCACGACCCCGTCCCAGCTAGCCATCATGGAGAACGCAAACGTGCTGGCCCGCTATGCCAGCATCTGCCAGATGGTGAGCGAGTCAAACGGGACACACGCCGGTTAGACGCAGTACGGCGAAGCATCACAAGCAGCCGTTACAGAAGTCCTACCTAGGAGCGGAAGTGCAATTGTCTCTGTTGTCATGACGGTGGTTGCAATGTTCTCTCCACCCCCCTGCCCTCCTCCAGCATGGGATCGTGCCCATCGTGGAGCCAGAGATTCTTCCGGACGGTGACCACGACCTGCAGCGCTGCCAGTATGTGACAGAGAAGGTGAGTGATGGTGGTCAGATGGGTAACAGATAAGAGTCATGTAGGCTTACCTCTCATAAGAATCCATCACCGTGAATTTGGGGTGTTCTCAAAAAAGGAGAGCCGCATTAACTATGGCATAAAAAAGACAATTCAGTCAGAGACAAGTCAGTTAAGGAAAAGACAATCGTTTATCAGTAACCGGGAGATTAGTAGTCGAGTGGTGTCCGCCCTGATCAGCAGCAAGATAAGTCCAGAATGATGAGTCAAGTCAGCGTATTATGGTATTAGATGGGAAATACTATTGTATTTATATCATAGTCAGGCACAGTTTATTAATTAACACTGTTGATATATGGGCAACCGTGACTCATGGAGTAGAGCGGGTGCACTGGTAACCGCAGGGTTGGCGGTTTGAAGCCTGGCTGCTACATGTTTCTTGTTGAATTGCCCCTGAGCAAGACTCCAAACCCCTATTTGCTCCCACAGATGCCTCCATGGCAAAAAAGTTTAATGAGAATAGCGCACTGAAATGAGAAAAGCACGGTGGGGGCAGTGTGCTTTTCTCATTTAACTTTTTTTTTCTCCGAAAAATGACCATCTGAATTACATGCGCTTGTCTCTGAAGACACATTCCCTGCCTGACACGTCCCTGCCTGTATTTATGAAATCTGCCAGGTGTTGGCAGCTGTCTACAAAGCACTGTCTGACCACCACGTCTATCTGGAGGGAACGCTGCTCAAACCCAACATGGTGACCGCCGGCCACTCCTGCCCTAAAAAGTACAATCCTCACGAGATCGCCATGGCAACTGTGACTGCACTGCGACGCACTGTGCCCCCCGCAGTGCCAGGTCAGTAAAATCGTAGCTATCTGCACACATGCTTATTACATGTATACCTGATTGCTACCTGACCTTTTGCCTGTGCATTCTGCTCCCACAAGGTGTGACCTTCCTGTCAGGTGGTCAGAGCGAGGCTGAGGCCACCATCAACCTGAATGCCATCAACCAGTGCGCCCTGCACAGACCTTGGGCCCTCACCTTTTCTTTTGGCCGGGCCCTGCAGGCCTCTGCACTGAAGGCCTGGGGAGGCAAGAAAGAGAACGGCAAGGCCTGCCAGGAGGAGTACATCAAGAGAGCCCTGGTAAGGAGACCGTAGAGAGACACAGTTGTAGTTTAGGGGATGACCGCTACAAACACATGTCTTAAGGTATCCTTCTTTGCCTGGTGTTTCTCCACAGAATAATAGCAAGGCCTCTCTCGGGAAGTTTGAATCTTCTGGAGAGAAGGGAGCAGCTCAGGAGTCTCTGTTTGTGGCCGACCACGCCTACTGAAGTGAGCCAGGCACATTGCCATTCTACCCAGTCACTCCACTGGTTTCTCCCACATTCTCAGTCACACAGAACCAATTAACCTTCAGTATCACGCCATTAGGGATGCGAGCCCAATGAGTTCTAGGATAGAAAACCATTAGACTACACTGCCCATATGCCCAGTAAATATCATCCCTTAAGTTTTACCTTGCACTTGTAACGTCGGTGTTGGGCCTACATCCTAATCACCACCCTCACAAACCAAACCTTGAGGTGTGACCTTGTTAAGTGGCCTCTTCCTGCTTCCCTGCTTGCCAGGGGAGAGGCAACTACATAGAATACATCTAGAAAGTATCACACCAACAATTGTATGGCACTTGTCTGCCGTTCAGCCCCTTAGCATCTCATCAGTTGAGTCAGGATTTGGGCCGGAGGCTAGAGACCAGGACTAGGCCCTTCTGTAATGCTTGATTTAGTGTGAGGTGTCACTGTATTTTCTGTTTATGCATTTCAACCCCACAGAGACAGAATATTTTTTCCTGTTGAAATTAAAATATTCCATAACTACCGGCGTCCTGTGTTGCATCTATGAGTTTGTGTACATGTATTTGGGGAGAGTGGCAGACAGTCTGGCACAGAAGTGATGCACATTCAGTATAATGACCTTAAGCTTCTTTCCATAGCAAATATGTATCCTTTTACACTATGTGAATTTGAGCTCCATGCGGTCTATCAAACTTACCTTCAGTTTCATACTTGCATTTTGGGTTTGAATGTGTTTCATGCTTATTTTTCAAAATCCCACCTTTTTTCCTTGTACTGTCTGCAGAGCTCTTTTTTTACCGCTCTGAGAAGTAGAGCCCAGCCTGCTCAAAATGTGCAGAGGTACAAGATGGAGGAGACGTATTCTGGAATGTGCATGTGACAGAGAAAGGGAGGCAGTGTGTGAATGTCTTGACGTGTTGATTCATGTTTTATTGGCTGAGGCGGATCAGGTTCTTTTTTTTTTTTTCTTTTTTTTGTGCAACAAAGGTTCACCTCTAACCGAGGTAGGTCGGCCTGGTTACTTTATGAACTGAACCTCACCTACTGCACGTTCAAAGTGATAATCCGAAGGTTTAAACTGACAAATTGTATACGTCAGGGATTTCTTTCAACTTTTCTGCATTTGTGAGTTTAAACTTTTAGTCTCAGCCTAAACTATTTGGGACTTCTTTGTATTGGTCTGGCATCATTGCTCGACTGGTCTTTAACCAAAATTCACTGCTGTTCGCTAGTGGTCAGTGGCTGCCGGCATCAAACCCCACACAATTACCCAAGTGCCGTGTTGCTAACAGATCAGGTCTAGCCTACAGTGCTTTGCAAGTACTCAACCTCCTTGTCATGGCATTACTTTTATCTAAAGCGACTTACAATAAGTGCATTTCAACCATGAGAATACAGACACAAAAGAACAACAAAGTGCAATTTCATCAAATAAGCCGATCTACAACTTGCTATAGCTAAGAGCCATTATAAGTACAATTTAAGTGCTATAATTTGTTAGTGAAGAGGCGTGTCTTTAGTTTGCGGCGGGAGATGTGAAGGTCCTGATGTCTTCAGAGAGCTCGTTTCACCTTTTCAGAGCAGGACAGCAAACTGAACTAAGTCAATAACCAAAGGATAACCTGGATCGTCATATTTCCCAGCTTGTGAGTTGGTATACACACACGTATGAGTTTTTCATGTGTGCTCTCTAACAAGGTCTGCAGTAGGCTACTGTTACACCTCCGTTGCAAGGACTTCTGGTGACTCACGCATAGGTGATTTCGACCACAGATCCAGCATCAGGGTTCTATTCTACAACACCGGTTTGAAGACCGTAAGAGGGCCAGTTTGTTTCTTTGGCTCCATTACCAGAAATTTAAAAAAATGTTGTGTACCTGAAACTGAGGATTTTATTAGCTTAGCACTTTAAATCTACATAGGAAAGTGGCCCTGATCATAAGAGTCATCCATATTTCTACAGTAGCCAGAAAGGACAAACCAAACAAGTCTCCAGACACTGACATTCATGGTGTTGCATTACCTGAAAGTCACCGTTGTTCCTTGGAAAGGGAGCGGGGGATTCTGTTGACAGCAATCAGCAGCCTGACACTAGATCCTACACAACGTCCTTTCAACCCTCCAGTGGATAAGAGGCGGACCACGAAACGGGGCCTTTTAGTTGCAGCACACAGTGGACTACCCCACCCTCCCTAATTCCTCCTGACTCAGTTTGTTACCGTAAAACAGAGCCAGTGCGTAAAAACAACCAGTATGTCGGGTAGGTATTTTTATTTTAAAATGGGATTTGTGTTAACAAGGCCTCCATCTTGTGTAAGTAGAGCGAAGTGCATCTCCTACCAGTAACATGCAGCTGAAGTACTGAGCTTTCATCCAAACAAACATCAGACTAACAGAATGTCCTCCATTTCAACTAATGGTCTTTATATTGGTTTATTTTTTCAGCAAATAAACAGGAAGTGAGGGGGTGCTCGGCGGTTGGTTTGGATGAAGGACATGGAGACCATTCTCCTCCAGTCTGGCGCTGCTGTTAGCAGAGCAAGCATGCCGATCTTCACATGTTGGTGCTCATCCTGGTCTGGCTGTTGGCTGGTGTCAGCTCCCCCTGGCTGCCTTCCCTGGGTGGAGACTGAGAAGACATGACAGGAGGGAGTTATTGTTTCCATTCAAAATAACCGTCAATTCTCGGATTCTGTGTATTCTGGTATAAGCGCTTCTCACAAATCAGAACCTGTGGGAAAGACCCACAGCCTTGAAAATAGCACTTCTGTAAAGTTCATGTGATGAGGTTAGCGTTAATGTTAATTAATCCTTGCAACAAGAAAAGCAATGTCTAAAGTCCATGTCCTCATGTCCAAATAAAGGCAGGCACACCAGCGTACTGCTTTAACTGGAGTTACGCTTGGACTAATTTAGCTTCTGTTTAGCTTGACAACCGTACAACTCCTCTTTCCTACCTTGACGTGGATCTGATTGCGCAGCACAGCAGCTCGAAGGATCATGGCTTTGGCTCGTCTCTGGAACTCTTTGCCCATGTGGAGCGACTTCTCAAACGTGGTGCTCCTCTGGTCCACATCCCTCGCATACAGAATCTGTCAACATGTCCGTCGTTAGCTCCAAATCACACATTACACACTTGGACTTAATTTTCTTGTGTGTGTGTGCTTCACCTTGCTGTGGGAGTCTATGCGAGCGTTGATAAGACCCTCCAGTATGAGCTGAGTGAGCTCGTCTTCCAGAGCCGCTACTGTGGTGTTAAAGGCCTGGGCCATCTTCATCATGTCTGCTGACACGTAGGGGCTGAAATACTGAACAAATACACGTAGACATCAGTGGCGGCTGGTCCATAGTGCGCAAACTACTCGAGCAGTGGTCCCAACTTTTTTTTTATCGGTTTCACGTTAAGACAATATTTCGGACCGGTATTTGAAGCTCTTCTTCGGTCTCCTCAAGGGGCCTTTTTCACTTTCCAAAGATGTTTGATTATTGCAAATTTTTAACAGCTTGTGGGTTTAAGTTTTGCGGTAATTATCACGTGACTGAGACAAGCATCTTAAAATGTGTCAAGGAGGACAAGAGCATGTAATGGCGCGTTTCCACCGAGCGGTGCGGGTCGGGTCCCTTTTATTTGTGTCTCCACTGCCAAAAGTTGAGAATGGTACCAAAAATCCGAACCGTACCACTTTTTGGGTACCCTTCCGTTGGGGTACCTGGCACAGTTGTCTGGTACTAAAGGGCAGAGCTAGACTCACTGCAGAGCGTTGATTGGTTGAAAGAGTGTCGTCATTTGTGCGTGCCGCAAGGGGAAAGACAACACACGTAACACACTTGCAGCATGTAGCCTTTGCTCAAACAAAGATTGTCGTCTCCTTGTGACAAACAGCCACATATGGAAAAGCAGGAACAGGATCGGCTGTACGTCCTCCATTGTGGTTTGCGGTTAGCTTTCAGTTTTCGCACGATCGAATGACGTCAATCTACTTTCCGTCATGTACCACGCCTATCAAGTAAGGGTACTGTGGAAATGCTCGCCAAATCATGGTTAACAGACCCGACCAGTACCGACCCGACCTGTACCGCTCGGTGGAAACGTGCCATAATTGGGAGAGAATGTTTCAAAACAAAATACTTTTCCGAAAAAAAATGTGGTACCGGCATGGCACAGACCGCATGAACCTGAGCAGAGAGGTTTGTGCAAAGAACAACAAGAAACTAGGTATTCCAGAAGACAAACATCATGCCTTTAATGCTTAAAGAGTATAAACGCACAAAGTGCATGTCTGACCTGAATGAGGGCTCTGTTCCTGATCTGGCTGTACAGTGTCTTGACGTGTGGGGCCAGGTACATGTCCAACAGGAGGTTGTCCTAGAGGACACACCGGACAGACAAACTCCAAATCATCTAATGTGTTTGTGTGCCACGTACTCCCAGAACCTGAGCACCATCCTAATCAGTTAGTCTACAATAACTACCAACCTTCATTTCATCAAGCAGCTTCAGACAAGATGCATACTTGGACTCGTAGAACTTGAAGATAATGTCACGGATTTGAGGTTCCAACTCTAGAAATAACTTAAAGGAGCTGAGGACAGGAAAAAAAAGTGTAATAGCATTGCTTACTATTCCTGAAGATATGTTTCAGTCCTCGTTTACTAAACTGCTCCTACCTGCTGGAGATGACGTTACGCTGGAGCTCCTGTCTATCAAATGTGGCCAATGCACATAAGCCTCCATAGACGGCTACATTACTGGGCGACAGGAGCTAAAAGGGAAAACACACACTTATATTATTGTATTTATTTTTGATAAATAGGTTGGATGAATAAGTTGCCATCAGCTGGTGTGTGTACATTTGATCTTTTATTTTTATGATTTGTCTTTGGTTCTGAATAATTCTAAAAATGAAAGCGTCCCATCTAAAAGCCATAATGTCTCATCGGCTAGATAGAAGTCATGGAGCCAAAGAATGCCCATTTCCCAAGTGTCATATTAGCTTCAGTTGAACTTTGGAACGTGCGGTCAATTTGTAGTAACTTTGCTCACCTCTGGGCAGTCACAGTGGTCAAAAGAAGCCTGCAGGAAGCACTTGGCGGCTGGTTTATATTTTCGAGAGGCCAACTCTGCCAGACCTGAAACACCAACAAAGAAAATCACGGCTGCTCTCAGAACATCTGTAAACACATACTTGGCGCTTCTTCTCAGCTGCTCTTCCAAATTCATAACCATAACACAGCATTCTTACCTGCAGCACACTTTAACTTGGTAAGGACAGCTTGGTTTTGGCTATCTCGCTCTCCTCTTTGCTAAACAAGCAGAAACAAACACCAACGTCATAATCATGGTCATCTGAAAGGCATTGTCATCTTAGTAAGCAATGTATTTCTCCTTCAGGGGAGACACTGTGACCCCTGCTCACCTCTGCTATCTCTGGCGTCGATTCGGCTTTGTTGACGTAGCTCAGTACATGGGACCAGTTCTGGAGGTAAACACTAACCTGTGGGAACACAAGAGTTTACTCCTTCAGA